CAAACGTAATTTTTCGGCATGGTACATTCTTTGTTACGATGTAATCCTTTCTGTCGGCAGTTAGAACAAGCGTATGAATGTGCATCGACATTCGGATCGTATGGTACAGACTCGATGGATCAGAAAATAACACTTATTACTATCGTATTTGTAGTTTTGTTGTTGTTCTTTGTATAAGCCGTTGAAGTGCTGGACATGCGCCGATTTACCCTTTGCCCACGGCTTGAATGAACATTGATTGATTGCTTGATTGCTAAACTCGTGTTGACTTTTTAATTGCTCGTTGCTCAAGGTACAACTGAATTGAGCTCAAATTGCACCTCAAGTTGCAGCTGTGCCTGATTGCTGTGGAATAGTTTTTTCTTAATTTATTGTTGAATTTATAAATTCATTCGATTTTTCAAATACTAATTTACGCATTACAACGTTGATACAATAAACACGACAAATATTAATGTTGCAAAGAAAAATAAAAAAAAAGGTTTATTTTTAAATGATTCAAGAACACTGATACATACGGAACAGTAATATTTTACATTTTTAACAATATATTTTTAAAGAACTTATTTTCAATACGTTATTATTCGATTAATGTTTTTGAAATTCATTTCGCAAAAACTAAAAATAAACAATTTGATAAACGTACCGATACGTGTATACGATTTATTATGGTCGTGAGTTTTTGTAACTTTTCGTTACTTCGTCGGACTTCGTCATCGCTCATCGTGACGATCGCACATAAAAATAGTAAGTGAACACTTGCTGATAATTAATCTTACCATTACATTCTGCGATCAGTTTTAGCAATTGGTCACAGTACTTTTACATTGAAGAATAAGTTAATATACTGAATATTAATAAACGATATAGATTTTCAAATTTAAATGCAGATCAAGTGACTAATGATATAGCTGCAGGACGTGACGTGTTGTCTAGAGTCGACCGCAGACTAAAATAAATTAGCACGCAGCAAACGATTTTGTTTTATCGCCGAGATATGGCACGAAATTACTCCACGGCCATATTAGTTTACACAGAAGCGAAGTAGCTTTTTAATCGCCTTACGTCTTGAAATTTATATACTTAGTCGAAAGAATTAGAAGCTAAGAAGTTTTTCGAATGAAATTATAGTCGTCTGTGTTCATAATTTTTTGTATACGAAATAGCTTTGATAAATTAAAACGATGAAATTAGAGGATTACACCAACTGCATTTTATACTTGATTCGTATTGAAAAAAACAATTATGCCTTTTGAACTTCACAAACTACGGCATCATGTATTTATTATTGAAATAAATTAACAACTGATTCCTAAAAGTTAATTATGAGGGCAGAAGCGGTAAAAAAAAAATAATGAAAATAACGCTTAATCACAAAATCTAATATTTTAACGTAAAAATAAATGTACAATGAGATTCATAAATTGTCAGATTATTCTATAAATATTTCAGGGAATGTAAAAAATAGCAGTACGAAAACAATGTTTCGAGTTTGCTTACTATAGCAGTGTAGTAGAATATAATCGCTATAATCGCTGAAACTTGCAATAATTATATATGTGGAATTGTAGTTAGATGTATGTGTGCGCGATAAAGTAAAAGGTATGAGTCCTTGAGCAAGAAAGAGTTAGGCGTAAAACTACCGAGCAAAGAAGTGGAAAGTGCGAGGAAGGGCCTCAAACGGCCTTAGCGTCAGTCCAAAGGGAGATCCTGCTGTGTAACGACAGCACGTCCCTTACCTAGTTTGTTGTCTAAGCGTTAGAGTTTTAGTTACAGGTGTATTAGTTAGGAATAATAATTTTGGTTATCGATTAACTGTGCTTCGTATTTATCAATTGCAACTTCTAATACCCTCATCTTATTAAATTATCCTACATATATTCTACCTTTTCTTAGCACTTTTGAATTGAAAAATAGTATAGATGATTTAAAAATATGTAATTATTTTGATATAATAGTAGAGAAGTGGATGAATAAGATAAAAAATAATTAAATAATGAGCGCGAGATGAAATAAAGCCTCAAGGCATATAAATAACTTATATATGGACATAGGTAAATAAATATATAAAGACGTGAATAATTATAGATATTATATATTATATTCAATATTCAAAAGCAATACTTAAGTAGTGCATCACAATACATTTTTTAAATAAATAAGCTTATACTTTTCAATAATAAGATATAGATTCAATACTAACTTCATAAAATATTGACATGTAATAGGTGCATATAAATTAATTTTTTCTTAAATAATAAAAAAAACTATAGTCTAAATTACACTCTTATATTATACTTATTGTGGCATAAATATATCAAGCATGTTGTAATACTTGTTTGTAAATAAATAACTGTAATTAGTAATGGTATGCAATAAGAAAAACAATATTTTTCTAGAAAAATATTAGAAGTATTATTTTCAATATTTTCCAATATTAGTATTATTACTATTAATACATGAAACTTCATTATGCCATTTACTTTTAGACATATTTGAACACAACATGTTTAATTAATGTAACTAAATACTTTAGCTCATTCTGGTAGGTTCTCATAAGTAAAAAAAGATAAATGATTAACCTAGTTGTAAAAAAACCAGAGTCTCTTTCATTTCGTGTTTATTATAACTCTCCACTACTGTAAAAAATCCTCAACCACTTAATTTTAAGTTTCAATTGATAAATTCATCACTAAATCAATCAAATTGATAAAATACTGCATAGTACTATACTCATTTCCTTTTCTAATAAACTAGTTTCTTCATTATCGAAAATAATTTCAAAAAAATCTTCATTATCTTCATTGTAGTCACCTTCGTCACTGCTGATAAAATTAAGCATTGTATGGTGACCATTTACGGGAATTCTGAAAAACATGCTTATTTTTTTTTCATAAAAAAGATTGCATCGAAACTTTTTATAGTTGATAAATTATAATTGTGTATGAAAATTTGTAGATCTTATTGTTTTTGAGTAAATAAAGTAAAAAATCTCTCACAATAAATTAACTTTATACTGCTCATCATATTATCTGGTATTGTTGATTATAGAACTTTTCACTAAGTTTGGAAAGAAAAATCATTGTATTTGTCCCTTCAGCTGAATTTTATGGAGGAGATAAAATTGGCTATTTGACATTATTAATCAAAGGAAAAAACTTGTCTAATTAAGTATTCTAGGAGAATAACTATGTATAAGTAATGTTCATAACAGGCATTATTTCCTTAGTTTTATCCAATGGAATAAACATTTCCAAAGATAAAATAAAATAATTTTTAATTTCACTACTAGTCTGTACTTTAGTCTCACGATTTGACTTTATTAGTTTAAATTATAATGTTCATCGAGTATTTTATTTGATTGAAATGCGATTGGAGTTACTTCTTGTTATCGACTGATAATATCGTAGTATTGTTATATACGTTTAATATTCTGTCGTCTATATAGACTGAACGCAATTATACCTTTTTATTTATATAAATCGCATAAATCGTAATAAATTGCAGCTGTTAAGATTTGCAAAAACAATATCGAATGAATATAAAAACGCAGTGAACTTGATGAATTAAAACAATAACTGTAAATAACTTCAAGCTCTACCGCTAATATTCATAAATCGCTGAACAAGAAATACTTATTATGCCTTCCCTCGTCAAATGATTTCAATAAACGTAAGATAGTTGTTAGTCAATAACAAAAGATCGACAAATTTTTATATTTAAATTACAATTTATCAACTATACAGAATTTTAATACAATCTAATTTATGGAAAAACGATTTAAAAGATAAGAATATTTTCCAGAATTTACGTAAATGGTCTAACATGCAATGCTTTATTTTAATAATTTTCTGTAGAAATGACTGCGTGAAACGCTAAGTAATTAATTAGTTATAATCTTGATTTCAAAATTAAACACATTCTAAATCTTTTTCTTTTTAGTCCCATACTTTTACATTTAGGCTAACCATTAGAGGAGAGATAGAACGAATTTTTTGCGGCTCAATACGCTATGGGTATAATTGGAAGGTTTTAAATGAATATAGTACAAGATAAATAAATAACTAACTGTCTGATGTAAGAGATAGTTTCCTCTGACAATAAGATATTAAATTTCCGTTATTGAAAGCGTAAGTCAAAGCAAGGTAAGAAACTTATAATCATAACACGACTACGCGTTATACAACTTTTAGTAGCAAAGTAAGGTATAAGCATGATAAATCGCATAAATTAAGTTTAGATTCTGTAAGTGCTATTACTTGCATTATTGTTATATTCTAGCTCGAGATCCCTTCTCACGTGTATCCTTATAAAATTGCGAAATAATTAATGAATCTTTACATAAATTATTTGAAAATGCATTGCAACACCTCCAAATATGAAGTAGCACTTAATCATGGACAAAACTGTTACTTGCGAAAATATCATCAGCTCAATATGAATTAATAAAATGTTTATAAAAACGCCTGATGAGATGTGTAAGAGGACGAATAGATTGGTTAATTAGATCTGTCCCGAGAAAAAATTATTTTTCTTGTCAAGACGTACTTCTGTAGTATACATAATAATCAATTGCAAAATCGACTAATTATCCTAGCTAATTAATTTAATTCTGTTTAATATACTGAAGTTTAATTTATTTCATTGGCGCGGAATTGTTTATTTTTAACTTTTACGCTACTGTTGAAAATGTTTGATTTTTTCTTATGAATTAAATTACCAAGAGATTATCGACTTCATTTGAAATTATTAACTTTATGATACGTATTTAATAAAAACTCATTAAGGTTATATTTACTTTGTGATGCAATAGTCGATGTCCTCGAGATCGATAACAATTTTAAAATTTATCGTCAATGTATCTGCATATTTGATTTATGTTTTGTTTAACAGCTATATGCACACTTCAATTATATCTGTTTATTTTCTATTAACATGTTATGTCTGGTTTGAAAAGAAATGTTTTTGGAAAAAAAAATTGTTACTAAGTTAGAGTCATTGCTATCTTTTAATATTACATATATCCTACTTGTTTGATTACATGCAATTTTTAATTTGAAAGTAGTTTAGCAAAATTACTTACAAAATACATTAAAAAGGAGAAATAATAACTAAAATTGTTTTTATCATAACAATACAATACTTATTAAGTAACAGAAATAGTCGATGTAAGATATAATAATTAAATATCACCATCTTGCGCTTCATTCTATTCTGCAATTCTTTTGTGGAAATACTATTACGAGTCTTAAATTTTGATTCAAGTTAGAGTAAAGAATACAACAATATTGAGCAAATTAGAATAGTAATATCTTAAAAACTTTCCCATAACATTTGTAACATACGTTTTTCTAAAACATCAATGATTTATCAGTTAATAAATAGCAATTATTAACGATAGAATTAAATACTTAGTAAATTAATATCCAAATAAATAATAAATATTATGAATAATCAAATATGTTAAAAATGTTATATATAATTCACTAATCAATTGTGAGACTTTATGTATACTTAAAGATTAAAAATTATCGTTATTCGTTACTTATTTTGCCTAACTTTAATCTTTATTTCTCTTCTGAGTATATTAAATAACCAAATTCTAGTAAGACATTAATTAATTTTTGGGAATTGTTTACAAAACATGAATGAAATTACCGTTACATAATACTATTGATTGACTGAACTATTGCAATAATTAATCATCGAAGTTTTGAAAGATTAGAAACAAAAATTGATTAATTTATGTGTTCAGAACAATTGAATATTCTACTAAACTCTTCAATAAATAAATAAATTTTTCATATAATAACAAAGACTACATTCAATTCCACATAGGAAATATCTAAACTTTTTAATTATTGTGATCGCATTGCTCACTTAGATTCTTATCGTGAAAAAATTGATTCCCAATCTAAAAAAATTATATAATAGTATGCTTAAATTTAGGGGGGGATTTAGACATGTGCAACAATTCATCATTTTCCTCTAAACAATATGCTCTAATATAAATGTGATGCTTGAATAAATAAATAAGGCTTGCCTCAATTATTAACTAATTTACCGTTGTCATCTTTTAATGTATTTGTATTTATTATGCTCATTTGATTCATATGCCCTGGTATTTTCTTTGATTTTATCCGTAGTAACATTGTTGAAAGTGCTCGTTTTCCCATGTGAGATTTAATATTTCTTTAATATCCTGTTTAAATCATCATAATATTTTTATTTTACGAGAGAACGTAATAACAGATTTTAAACAGTTTAATAAAATGGATATCACTTTACAAATAGTACACTTATTCAAACTTGATATCTATTTGAAATTTATGACTTCTATTATAATGATTTTCAACATGACAATACGATAAAAGATATTTGAAGTATACTAATTTTACGCATCGCTTTACAAACAATCCATCTATATATAATAATCATGCAAATAATTTTTGCTTTCAACAAGTTGTTACAATTTTAACAAAATTAGATGATTACTTTAGTTGTTACATTGAGATACTTCATAAACCTATAAAAAGTAAAATTCATGCTAGACATAAAGTTATAAATGATAAATTAATACCGTAGATGGTATACATCAACTTAGTACAATTTAATAGCAATTATAATAAAGCAATTGGAGATTCACAATGTCGAAGATAAGAGTTTTCTTTCAAACGAAATTCACTTTAATTGATAGCAATGTCTTATTAACTTTACTTGCAATCACATATTTCCAGTAATTGGCATTTGTTAAGTATTTTTTTCCTTTTTCTCATTCAACAATACGCGCCTTTTTCTAACAAACTGTAATGCAACGCTGCTCTGAGTGTCAATTGGAAGGTATTTAACAGCATCCATCAGGTTCAAAAACGCTTGAACTCCCTCGCTAGGAGGTCGATCCAGCTGAGGTTTTTCATTCTCGTCTACGATGATTTGGTCTAAATCTTCATCCTCTTCATCCGATAGATATTCTTCACCGATTCCACTGCTTACTGTGCTTTTTGTACCATTTATTGAATCGGTTAAGTCGGTTATTTCCACGCGCTGTTTAGGAGATGTTGATGACTTAATGTCATCTACGCTTTGTATGACTATATCTCTAAGAGCTTTAAAGTATAAATTGTAAGGGCTTGGTACAGACTTTTTGACTGAATAGTGAGTTGGGCGAATCAATAAATTTGATGTTTCATCATCAGCTCCACAAATTGCTAAACGATTTTTTGTCTAAAATATTTAAAGATTATTAAAAAAACTGAATGATTATTTTTATAGTTAAAAATAGATGAGGCTTCTTTTTTAATAACATTTTTTTAAAATAGCATGCTATAGGATCAATTGAATAATTATTGAAACTGAGATAAACTGAAATAGCATATTATTTTTTTAATTCATTTCTTTTCTTATGCAGTCAATAATGAATTGAAATTTAGAAAATTAATGAAGATTTTGATAAACAGTGGGCACCAAAGCTTTCATACACCATGCGCATTGACGTATTTTAGTTTTGTATCTATTTTCTATTCGCATAAGTGTAAAGTTATAGTTTATACTTTTTACATTTATATTTCTCCTTTTCGCATTTTTCTTTCTCGCATGTTTGTAACGTGTTACAGTTTTGTTGTTGATTAGGTTCCCTCCATAACCCGCTATAGCGAATTTTGTTCCAAAATTTGCAAAAAACTTCGAAAAATTACTTGCTTACTGTTTAATATTTTGCCACGAACGACCAAAGGGCAGCTAAAGGTTCAAAACGTTATTGCGCTTGGTGTACGAAGAATTTTGACGCCCGCAGTACAATTTTAAATTAATAGAAGTTGTTACTATTTTGATTTCAAAATGCTACCTTTAAAAATAATCGCGGGAGTATACGATTTTACTACAAATTAAAAAAATTATGCAATATACCGACCTTAGTTTTCGCTGTATCAAAACCAAGAGTTCTGTCCCTTTTTTTCTTGTAACTCGGATATGCATGGCCACAACGGGGGCAGGTGTATACTCGTACGCCACTTCGTCCACAGTTGAAACAATAGTCGCCATTTCGAAAATTGTCACATAATTTAGATTTGGGATGTCGAGGTTCCAAGCAATTGATACAATTACCAGCAGGTACATCCACCTCGATGTCAAAGGGAATCGACTCCACGTCGTGGAAATGATTCAGGTACACTTGAAACTGATTTTATAACCATATTGATTATATATTATAATATATTAGGTAATGTTATTTATTTAACTCTAAACAAAAAGATATTGCAAAAAACGCAAGATTGTTAAATAAGCGCTTACTTCAAACGGCAAAATCTGCTTGACTTCTTCATAACCATGGCTAGATTTGTGACATCCAAATTTCATTTTTTGCATGCCAATAAACTCCAAATAAGACGAAGCACACCTTGGACAGTCGTTTGTTATCACACCTTTACGTCCACAGTTTTGACAGAAGTGTTGGAGCTTTGGCTGGGTGCACTCCACATGAGCGTGGCCGCTTTCCCAACAGTTGAAGCAGACGTATGGACCAGGATCGACGACAGGATCGAAAGGAATTGAAGCGAGGTTACCAAAAGTCAAGCCATCCATAATGACAAAGAAACTTTTAGGCCTGTGATTGATGCTTGACTCCACCACCTTCATAAAGTTTTGAGGTATCAATGTTTGACATTTTTTATTTGACTTGCAGAATTTGCAAGTACCACAACCGGCAGAACTCGAGCTCGTTGATGACTGCATGATATACCTGAAAAAATCAAAACTTTCAGTCTTCAATTTAAATCTGACAGCTTTATTGCAAAGATAATTTTTCGTTGATGTACATATTCTTAATAATTAAGCTTTGTTATAACAACGAAAATAAATTCTAATATGATCGTTATTCTTACAATAGAGTCCCCAAGATTTTTATTATCTTGAAGGTTGTATGAAAAAGCGTTGAGTTTAATCAATGAATTAATAATATTAACTTTATATTTATAATGAATACTAATATACGGCAAACGAAAGCTGCAAAATGGTTCAATATTATCAAAATAGTAAACAGCTGTCGAAAGTCTAATTCCAAATACCCAAATTCCAATCTTCTAAATTTCCAATCAAAATTATACCGTGCATATATGTACGGTGCATGTACAGCATACGACCAGCACACCAACAGCTATATTGAATTGGAAAAGTTCGCATCAGCGCCTCTATTACTCAGTGACACAAACAGTGAAAGTAGGCTGCAGTCTGCTTCGCCGTAAGATTAACATATGTAAGCTTTTTGATTGTTGCGTTTGATTGTAACGTAATCATAAATTAAAATTTTATGCTATCAGCAAATATCACTTCGATATTTCTCATTTTGTAAAACTTTGAAAATACAAAATACATGATTCAATTTATGTAAGATGCGGCTTATTAAAATTTGCATTTAACTATATCAAAAATTAGTTTGTTTTTTTTAATTTGAGAATATCATCTATAATTATCATCAATGTTGATTATAAATTGTTGGTTGATTTACTTATTCCAAAAATGCCGTCAATTCAATAATTAAATTATTTATTGTGTAAGTTCATATTATTTTGAGGTTAAGAATACTCGTATAAATTACTTAATCATTAGAATAATAATGTTCTGACAAGTATTTATCCAGCAAACAATATCATCAATATTTTCAATCATTACAAAGGATGTCACTTTCAAATCCACAAAATAAAAATGATATTTTATACGTGTTGAGTGCCAATTTTGATAAAACATTTTACATAAACTAAAGCATAATTTGATCCTTAAAATTTGTACAAAATAATAAATATCAAAATGATATTTGCTGCTGCCATAGAATTGGCTTGTAATTACGGAACAATTAAATATAGCGATAACAAAACTTACGTATATTTAAAGAAAATCTTTCGGTGGAGCAAACTGCCGCCTATAGCCCTATACCCTTTGCTCTATATTCTCACCGCGAACGCTTTCACAGCTTGAAGTTTGAGAAGGCCGTTTTGACTCTTGAATCTTGAGAATCTTGAGATTCTTGAGGCTTTTAAAGACGCTTATACCACTGCCAATAGAGGCGCCAATGGGAACTTTCCCAATCTTTCGAGTTCGATCTCAATTCCCAATAATGTCGCCATCGTGTGTTCAATTTCAAATTCAGAGTACACTGTAAAAAATACTTTCGTATAATAACTATTCAATAGTAAAATTACAACTGATATCTAACTCCGAGTGTAGTACTTTTACTAGTCTCATACTAGTAAAATTATAAATTCTAGTCATTAAAAATTACGTCTTTGATACTAGGTCCATTTTGTATCCAATTCTGAGATTAGTAATTTTCCGACAGCTGAAACCTTGGCTTTTATTGTAAAATCTCGTTGTAAAAGTACTATCTCGACTATAAAAATATTACTACACCAGACTAGTAAGTTTACTAGCTGCTAGCAATTTCACTGCTCTCAGGATAGGTCCGTTTCACGTCCAACTCTCGGACTAGTGATTTTACAAAATTATTTTTTTCAGTTTCAGTGCCAGTTTAAGCAGCTTTCCACGTGCAAAGCGTGCTCAACATACAAAGTTGTTTAGTACAGTGGGGGTGACTTCTCTAGACTGTAGCTCATTATAGTACATTACAGCCCAGCAGCCTGGCTCCCTTGACGCGATATAGTACATTACGATACAAGTGCGGGAAAGTAGAATCTTGTCTCATGTGGCGTTTACGCCCAAGCGAAGCGAGACTTTGCGCACGGAGTATCGAAATAGCACTTGTTACGTTGGAGGATTAATACAGAAAACTTCCATGTAGAGGGCTCTGCACGGTAGTTTTTCGTATTACGGAAGATTTTCAATCATAATCTTATAACCAAACCAAGTGAGGATTTAAAAGCTGCTCGGCCGCTGCGCGGTTTCGGACGCTCCATTGCCCCCTTCTTCAAAACGTTCCTCAACGTAACACAACGTGGTACAGCCCAAGATACGTAAATAACTATAACAGTGCAATATCTAAAAATTTTCAACTTATAAGCAAGCTTTAACGCAAGCAGGGGGCACAACTTAAATATCCATTGGTTGACTCGCTTAGTACTTTTATAATAAATTATTTACTTGTTGCGTGTACATTTACCTAATGGGGGTAAATTAAATTATATTTTTATTTAATTTCCGGTACTTATTTTGCTGGGTAAACATAGTTTCGCGGCATACTCTGCTCGCATAAGTTTATCTCTGCATCTAAGCAGCGCAGTGCAATCGAGAGTCAACGCATCGAGCGCTGTAACCAGTCGTATCGCTCCGCCTCTCGCTTAAATGATCGAGCTTTACCGTGTTCGTTTGATTATCAAGTATTCAAATACTTTTTCAAGAATCGCCCATCCCTAGAAGTTTACCTCTCCTCTGATAAAAAAAAAAACAAAGTCAAGCGTTCTCGAACGTCTAAAGTATACCCAGCTGAAAAAATCACATGATTTCGTGGAAAAACGTGATGTCAAGTGACAAATCACTCCGGAAAAATAATATTCGAAACTACGTGATGAATTCAATTGAATTCGAATTATAGAATCGTTACTCTTTTGTTTATTGATAACCTTCATTGAGTGTAGAGTTAGTGTAAATGACTATCTTTGGGTTCTAAATTTTCGTGACATCACCTTTCGAATATTATTTTTCCGAGATGGTTTGTCACGTGTCATCACGTTTTTCCACGAAATCACGCGATTTTTTTCAGCTTTGGTATATATTCACGATATGCATGAACAATCTGAATAGCACAGAATCTGTTGAGAATGTTTTTAAAACGATAAATTGTAATATCTGTTCATAAGTAAATAGTACAAGACAGAAAATAGAATTAATAAATACAGATATTTTTTTGCAGAAAACGTAAGTTACATTTCGTAAATTATCACGCTCAACTACTACGATTTTCCAAATAATTCACCGGAGACATAGACCTAACGTTTTCGCATGAAATTCCTTCAAACGTGCGCATTTTGGTTCATTTCATAAGTAGAGTTTTGGAGAACGGGTTCGATGTTTTAATCAGACGTCGTTGTTTTCGGAGATGGAGCGTCAGAACGCAGTTTATATTGAATGTGGCTTGGATATGGCAGACACCGAGTGAAAGAGTGCGAGCCCTTCGCAGATTCGAGCAGTAGACCAAACCCATGGCGGTTACCGACGTTGGTGCGCTCGAGCGTGGGCAATCAATTAATCAATTAATACGAAGCACGACATTTCAACACGTAAAAAGCTTACTCTGTAAATTAAAAAAAGGGTGGACAGATATTAAAAAACTTTTTACAAACGTTTCGATGCTTTTGGCTACTTAAAGTGTTACTGGAAAAACATTTTCAAAATGTTTTGAATGCGTTTGAAAACGATAGTTTATTCTGAAAATTAAGAAAAAGATGGACACATCTCAAGTTTTGAAAATGTTTTAAAAATATATTTTTTTACCAAAATCTACAAACGTTTAGAAATTTTCTAAAAAATGTTTCCAAACTGTTTTCAAACCTCAGCTTTCTCCATGCTCCAGCATCGAAAGAAAATCGAACGAGAAAAGTGAAAAGAACCCGGTAAGCCAATAAGAAAATTGCTGCCCATTCTACTCTTCTCAATTCTAAAGGATTAAGAAAGCTATTTTTTCCTTACCAAACCCAAGGTTTAAAAACAGCCGCGCGGCCCGAACGTTCTCGTCGCAATCCTAACTAAAAAGTGGAATATCAAGTGTATAACGCCAAGAAGAAAAAGTAAGTGGAACAAAAAGAAACCCTTCAAGTGTGTTATCTTACCTTTTCTCTTCCTTCCATTATTTATTTAGTTCCACGCTCGCTCGTTTTTTATTGTTTGAGTAATATTTCAACAAAAGTCTAGGATATTACTCTACAATAGTAATGGCGACGTTCTTGAATTTTTAATTTTTTCTTTAGTAGATATTTCGGCAAGGTCCGAGATACTCATTAAGGCCCCGGTCCCATAGGTACACCCAACGTGGATTGAATCGCGACCCCCCCAGTTAGGTTGGTATGAGAATTCCGTCGTTGCATTGAACGAAGAAACCGCGGGAAAATTCAAAAATGAAAATTCGTTTTAAGATACGATAAAAAGCTAAAACGTTACTAATTTGTTTTTAGGTTTGAAATTAATTGTTTGCCAAACAATGAATTTAGATGCATGATTATTTGATTTTAGGTTTTAATTATATAATTTAAGAACGAGCGTTATACTATGGCCGATCTGAAAACCACCGTTACGGATTGAAAGTAGCAGTCAAAATCAAAGCTCGAATAGCAGACCTGAAAAAGCCTGTTTACACGTGTATATGTCTATTTTAAATGTTTCTTCCGAGTTTCTTATGCTTTTACCTGCTTTTGCTTCAGCAAGGATTTATCGTTATGCTGGCATTTAGATAAGTTATTATTTATTTATTTATTTACTATCTACAATAGAATTTTCCCGCGGTTTCTTCGTTCCGATGCAACGACGGAATTCTCATACCAACCTAACTGGGGGGGGGGTCGCGATTCAATCCACGTTGGGTGTACATACATCCAACGTGAATTGAATCGCGACCCCCCCCCCCAGTTAGGTTGGTAGAGTGCTACTTTCAGTCCGTAACGGTGGTTTTCAGATCGGCCATAGTATAACGCTCGTTCTTAAATTATATAATTAAAACCTAAAATCAAATAATCATGCATCTAAATTCATTGTTCGGCAAACAATTAATTTTAAACCTAAAAACAAATTAGTAACGTTTTATCATATTTTATCATATGCAATCCACGTTGGGTGTACGTGCGGATGCGGACGGATACGGACGCGAATCGCAACTCTAGTAACATCACTAAAAATATCTAGTTCGATTATTTAGTACCAACACTACCAGTAGTGAGCAAAAGTGACTGTTGTTTAAAACTGTAGCGCCGAACGTACCACATTTAATGAACGCCTATCTAACCTTTACATTATTGCAGTCTACAAGATGGCAAATGATAGAGAATTGATAGACTTTCAACTACAATTAGTGGAATTAGGCCTTAATTTTATGGAAGTACTTGAATATATGAGAAGAAGAAGAAAATATATATAAATGATATGTATTAATCATCCCAAAAATTTTTTTTACATTAGCATACTCATCAATAAGCAATATTCATGAAAATTTGAAAAGTAAATTGTATTTGATAAAACTCTTGTGAAATAAAAACTTTAGAAAACACGCGCCGTCAAATTAGGAGGCTCTTCTCTTTCCAATTGCTCGTCCCGATTTAAGCGCTCAACCGAACAGTATACCTGAGACTATTCGTCTACCTTAGACGTACCTGAGAAGTGACCTGGACGTCATAATATTAAATAAAATAGAAATATGATAATAAAAAAATCCAATTAAGATGATATTCAAATAAATGAAAAAAATTATACGGAATATTTAATACAAATTCATCAAGCATGGTCGGCTTCTAGGTCAATAAATCTTTTAAAAATGTTAACGTCACATTAAATATTATAGATAGTTATATTGATATTAATAAATGAATGAATGAATGATTACGATGTCATAATGAATCATTTTTGTAACTTATAAATAATAGCCATCTAGCAGTACTTAAAATCGGTGATACAAAATCAAATGTAAACTTTACTTCGTTTTATTCAGTTTTTGAAAATTATAAATAAATTTTTATTCTCTTGGATCTTATCTAGAGAGAGTCTAACAACTCAGTTATCGTAAGACTAAGTAATTTAGAATTCCGTCCTAGTGTCAAAATCAGTAACAGTAATTAAAATAATCGGAACTTCGGAACAGGCGGACAGAACAGTTATTCTGCTTTTATCGAACGGTGTCCAATTCCTTTTTAAAGAAGATTGTTCGTTAGTCACTACCTTATTATTAGAAACTGAAATAAATATTCCAATTTATAACGTTTGTGAAAATTATAGGTATATTTTTGTTTCAATATATCATTATAGCAAAATATATTTTTTAATTGAATACGATCATATGAATATATTTTATTTTTCTAATACAATTCCGCGATATACCTCATAGTTAATTACCATTTATATATTTATATGGTGTTCATTAAAATTTCAATTAAAGAAATCGGCCATATCTAAAATTTATATGATAGTTTTATTTTGTGCAAATCATTTCCTATCGCAAAAAAAATGTTTTTACTGCATGTTGGCACATTAAAAGCATAAAATTGAGGTTATATACCAGTTAAATAATATAAATTACGGTTGAGACTTGGGAGACATTAATTGAATTTTAAGAATTTGTCTGTATAATTAATAAAAACTATTATGCCTACGTAAAAGTTTAGTTTAAAATAAACATAAATAATAAATTATTAAGTATTTACAAGGAAACGCTAAAAAATATATATATATAATCCGTACATTAACATACAATGTTCAGACTGCTGTAAAAAATGAAAATTTCGACGAACTATCAATATTAATACTATCAATGATTTTCACTCATGGTCAGCGATGCTTCTTTGTCGATTGTGCATACTTGCAATGCCGGCTACTTCCAACTCCGACCTGATTCCGATATTTTATAATATCCATTATAGTTTGAGAGTCGAAATAAAATAATATATTTGCTGTGACGTCGTTATCATTAAAATTATAAATACCTACACAATTTTCTAATTATATGTTTTTTCTGTTAAATTCATATTACTTTTCAAAAATTCTAATCAGTATTTATGAAATCACGAAAATGACTAAATAAGGTAGTTACTTTTAGAAAAGTTTAAAAATAAAAATTTGCATTTATTAGCCAGGTTAATAAACAAAATAATATATAATCTACTTAATAATTTAATTTTAATTATTCGTATCAGGAATCCCTTAATTATGTAGCTGGAGTTGCATATTGCGTAATTGTAAGCAGTTGTAAGGTTAAGTTGTAAATGATCTTAGAATTATTCCTAAATGATCATCTTCATAATTTTTGTTAATTACGTACTCTAATAGTTTTATAGAAATTATTTTATGAATATTTTAATCTTGCTTAATTTTCGTTCATGAATAAAATTTGTATGAATATGTGTTACAGATTTTTACACGGATAATTGAAATGGCAGCTGACAGTGACTACCGCACTTTAGCTCATTATTGTGCTGGTAATTTTTCTAAAAAAGAATTTAGTAATAAAATTTTAGATAGTTTAAAGGATGTTAATTGCCCATTGCCAATGGATCTTCCTCAGAATCTAAATACTCTACTTGGCTTCACTCCATTACATTTGGCTATTCATTTTGAGAATTTGTGTGACATTAAAACTTTGATCAAACGAAGGGCCAAGTTCACTCTTAAAAATGGGTATGGTCAAACTGGCCTTCACTATATTTTACATTCATATTGTGAGTGGTCTGAAAATATAGGTCGTATTTTAAGAGAGCCTATAATGCTTGATGCTAGAATTAAAGTAATACTGTCAGCTCATTCGAAGTACAATATTTCTGAAGATCCTAGTGATGAGTATGGTATATCCCATTTTCATATAGCATGTATAACAAACAATGTGAAAGCTGTAAGTACTTTTTTAAATGGTGGAGTATCTGTTAATAAGGCTGTTAATAAAAATTCTAAACTGTTACCTGGTTATACTCCATTACATATTGCCGCAAGGTATTGTGCTTTGAAAACAGCAAAAGTACTTTTAGAAAATGGTGCTGATGTTACTCTTACAGATACCAATGATATGACAGCTTTACAATTACTTATTGACCGCAACATAAAAATTATGAAATGTTTGGGTGCCAAAGATACTGCTATGTATAAAAAGTTAAAAGCAGATATTCTAATAAATGAAAAGATCATTAAAATGATACAGGATAGAAATGGTGCAAATTATATAGGCATGTCTTCACTTCAAATTGCTTGTACAATGCAAGAACCTTCAATAGCAAATAGTTTACTTTCATTTTCAGATGTAAAATATCGTGTGAAAAGAAACTCAACTATGTGGCAAGGTTACACTGCACTGCATTTTGCTGCTCACTTCAATATTGAAACTGTTAAACTTCTGGTAGAAAAAGGAGCAGATATTTTAGCCAAAGATGCCAACAGCATTACAGCATTTGATTTGTGTGTGGAAAATTATAAAATTCAAGAAATTTATGACCTTATAATTAATGAACACAAATTGAGAAGCCTAAAGTTCTCAAATGAAAAAACCAATCTATGTAATTTTATTTTAGCTATGTTACGGAAAGCTGATTTCGAATCTTTTATAGATTCTACCCCAAATTTAAATATTAACATACCATTTGATTCTCCAGTGTGGTCTGGGTACACACTTCTTCATTTGATAACTATTTTCCTTAAGAGAGACGTAACTCTTAAAAAATTTATCGAAAATACAGACTATTACTATCCAGATAAAGAAAAATGGAAAGAAGCTACAGGTGAAATTAACATTCAAGCAAACAAAAAAAATGTAATTGAAACAAGAAATGTTGAAGATGAAAGTATCACTGAGGCAAAAAAAGGTAACGAAGAAATAAGAGAAAAATTAGAATTTGACGATGTCAGGTTATTTTTTGAAAAGCAGAAGATTATTAAGGTAATTAAGCAAGAGAGTCAAGGCATAACTGCTATTCATTTAGCCTTTTATCTGGACAACATGAACCTGGTTAGTTATCTATTGCGTAAGCAAATAAAGATTGAAAATCCTGTTGACAAAAAGGGTTTGTCACACCTACATCTTGCAGTTGCATATGAAAATATAGTGTTAATAAAGCATTTGGCAGCGAAAGTTCCTAGAGATATCAATAAATCAGTGAAAGTTGGTTTCCAGTTGAGTAATACACAACATTACAGTGAAAATATTTTAAAGACTTCATATGTATATGTACCTTCTTGTTACGCGTATAAGGAAGTAACAAAGGTGTTTAAAGTCAATGCTGGTTCAACAGCACTGCATATAGCTGTGGCTAAATACAATCACTTAATAACAGAACTTCTTATCAATTTAGGTGCAGATATATATGCTAGAGATGAGTACAACTTGACACCTATTCACTTAATGATGTGTTTACCTGAGGGCTTCGAAGGCATTTCTCACTTTCGGCGTATCCTTGAAAGGATAAAAGGTCTCCGAGAGTGTGTGGTGGAATCAGTGGGACTGAGCCACCTACATGTAGCATGTTGGCTTGGTAGCAAAATAGTTGTTGAAAATTTACTCAATCAAGGAACAGAGAATATTGAGTTGGAAATAATTGCCAATGATTCTTTGCCTTTCCTAAAACAATTAGACAAGATGAGACCGTTCGGATTAGCTTTAACTTACAATTGGTTCAATGTTGTTGAGTTACTGATAGAAAAAAACGCTAAGATTTCCGTTAACCGGCTTCTCAGATACAGTGTTGATAAGGCTATAAGCCAGGAATATGTCGATAAGTTGAATAATGTGTCATTACGAAATAGACTCAAACGTGAGACAGGACTAACGTTACTTCACTTTGCTTGCGCTGCATTGAATATCAAAGCGGCGAAAAACGCATTAAATCAAGGGATCGACGTTAATGCTCAGACTCACAAGGAATCTCCTTTTTGGCCTGGTTTCACTCCGTTGCATGTTCTCGCAACTGTAATTGATCCAGATCAACAGCAAATATATCTATTGACAATACTGCTATTAAATCACGGTGTCAATGTCACCTTGAAGAACGTCGATGACGAGACGCCGGTTCATCTATTTTATAACACAAGTAGATCTACGGACAACTACTTATTAAATTGTGTCGGATCTCTTCACCGCGATATAACTACATTTCTACTCAAAGCTCAACAGGATTTTAATGCGAATCCTGTTAATCAACTAGCAATTTCGCACCTTCATATAGCTTGCAAAAACAACTGTGATGAATTAGTCGCAGAATTTCTTAATAATGAAGTGGATTTGAATATTCAGATTAACTATTTAGATTTTCAGCATGATGGTGGATGCTCTCCTCTCCATTTAGCTTTAAAGAATTTCTCAAAAAATTCTGTTGATTTACTTATGGACCGCGGAGCTGATTTACACTTAGTGGATTCTTCGGGTAACACTGCACTTCATTGGCTCGTCGATGCAATCCCAATTGAGCCCGAGCTTGTTAACAGATTCATTATAAACCGGTGATTATTATAGTAGCTAGTACTTAATGAAAACTAATTTTTTCTTAATTCTTACGTTCAACGAAAAATTATAAATCCTACTATTGTTTGTTTTCAAGTTACTTGTAACAATTTTAGTTTTCTTACTATTTACAGGATTGATACTGATGTTATGGCAACAAACATTTACGGCAAAACTCCCTTTGAAGGTCTGTTGCATTCAAAGACGATACCAGCTAAAATGATTAATACGATTATGGATCTTAAACATATTCACACCAATATCTACAATAGAGTGACTGGAGAAGGCTACTTGGCTGTAGCTTTCTCAAATTTGATCCTGAATAGCCAAGCTTCAGGAGGCGTAGAGATAAATCCAATATTTAATGTAATGATGTCAAGAGACGATATAGGTGAAATTGGTTATATGGATCGCAATGCCATCCACAATATAATTTCACAGAAAGGAAAAACTGAAGTATCATATGAACCTATCTTACAGGCGTATAATAATGCAATATATCGACTCACGAGAATTGGCTGTAATATTGATCATCAGGATATAACAGGTAGGCTTTCTATAAACTAACTTTAATAATTGTATTAAACTATTTGACATTTACGATTGAACAATTCATTTTTTTCGAAAGGTCGAACCCCGCTTCACATTGCGACTCAGTTCCGAAATGCCGATGGATTAATTGCTTTATTGGATTGTGGCGCGGACGTAAATGTCATTGACGCAACCCGGAAATCAGTATTAAATTATGCTTTAGAATATGAGGAGTATGAAGTCGATAAGGCTGTACAATGTATGTGGATTTTCTATGCATACTTGAGTCAATATTGTTCTTATGGATTTGAATTGAGCCAAATGAATGTCGAACTTTATGTGAAAATTGTTGAAATTTGTGAATTGAATAAGCGATTTGAATATAAAAGACCAATTGTCGACGAAGACATTAAAAATTTAAAGAACTGGGAAATCGATTCGTCATTAATAAAATTATCTGATTTGCTGAAAAACAAAGGTCTCGATGCTTATGCAATGAGAGTGTCCGTTCGTCGTGACATTGATAAAATTTTCCAAGGTAATGATTTACATAAAAACATGTTTAAGATTTTTGGGTTACTCGTGTTAAAGTATAAGGAAGCTCGTATCAATTATCAAATTTGGTGCTCACTTATTAAGCCTGCCATAAAAGCATTGCAAGATCTTAGTTCTTTTTCTATATCTGTTTCCTGCAGTACTATAGTTGTAAGTTTTTTAACTGTTAAAGAACTGAAAAACATGATTGAGTCAGTTCCTAAGCCGAAGAAACCAGTCAAAAAGACTAAATAATTTATTTAAATTAGATTCTTTATTTTTTACCTTCACTTTTTATGTAAACAGTAACAAAAGGAATTTTCAGTAATTTCTTGAAGAATATTTTTTTTTTGCATTTTTCGACTTCTATTTATTAATGCATTGCAATCCTTACTTAATTTATTGATTTTGTATTTTGTTAATAGTTTAAGAGAAAGAGCATCATTCGTGAAGGTGTTATAAAATTAAATTATTAACTTGAACATCACTTTTATCTAACATGGATAGTTTGTTACATATTATAATAAAAAGAATTAAATTTTTTTTTCTATTAAAATTGGTTCTTTGATGATAATGTTTGTTGTTATACTTTGAGAGTATAAAATTCATTGATGGAAAAAGCTAATTGAGAGAAATATTAAATATTCTTGGTCAAAACTAATCTATAATATAAGTACAGAAAATCTTATTAGTCAATCTATCATACTGTGCCCTAAAAAATGAAGACTTGAATGGCACCACATATTATCAGAGAAATGTGTAAAAGAGATAGACGTTGATGAATATTAACAGTGAAAAAATGTACAATTGAACATACGTTAAGATTCAAAGTTTTACACATTAAAAGAATTATAATTTCAAAAGTTTATACCAATATGTTGTTAATAATACTTCGTATATTTAGTAATAAAAAATATATTTTATTTATTTGTTTTTTAATTTCAATAACCCAATTGTAAATAACTACTTTAAGTGGTTTGAAAATGCCTACATCACAAAACTGTAAAATATAAGTTAAATTTGGATAGAGTAAATATAAAATGATTTTACGAGTTTTATAAAATTCACGTAAATCCATGCTTATATGAGATCTGTGACCATAGAATAGTAACAACACAGAAAACTTTACATTATTGGTAACAACCTGTCAGTAGAAACTTTTTTTTATAAAATGGCTATAAGTATAAGCTTTATATATCCATTAGGACTATGTCCAATAACATATCCAACTAAAACTGTTGCTGTCACTTCTATAGAAGGAAAGTATTCGTGTGGATAAAGTATCATAGCTTGAATAGGTTTTCCATCAGCAGAATAACAAGTAAATATTATTATATTTTTTTTATTTTAACCTGAAGATATATAATAAATGTTTTTATATCCTTACTTACACCTAATCTCATGCAAATTAAATATTCTGCTAGAATATCATCGACCTTTTCCTCTTGTAGGTATTTTAACAAATTTATTAAACTATTGCTTTTTCAGAGTTACGATTCACTTGCAAAGAACCTCACTAAAACTAAGTTTTAAAAAAAGTTAATCACTGATGGTAACTTAGCAGTAGCTTCTTCTTAGTTTTATTGGTTGTGGCATCAACTCGTAAAGTGAGTCCACGTTGATGGGCTGTGCATGATGGTTTTTTTCAAACGTTGGAGGCATGAGATAAGTAAAAGAGATATAGATAGTGATAGAGTTGAAAAGCGCTTTTAACGTCTATAAATACGTTACCGCTGTGTATAGTCCTTTATTGAAGTTTATGTCAATATGGTTGTGAAAATCGAAAAGTTATATCAGAGCACGATCTCGGTATTATTTCTTGTCTGTGCAGCGCCTAAAGATCGGTGAGGGAACCTTTTAATTAATGGTTTGCAAGATAGTAGCTATCGGGGTGGAAGGGTTGATGGGTTCATAAAAACAAGTAAAGCAGCAGTCTTCGTTTGCTTAAAAACATCCTTTGTATATTTTTCAGCAGTTGGTCAAATCGCCACAGATCGTTGCAAATGTTTCTAAGGGCCGATCTTTGCTCATTGGCTTCCTTGCACTTCAGATCCCACCAGGGAGTTCGGGCTAACGATTCCGTTACTAAAGATAGAAGTTTGGCAAGCGAGAGAATTAAAAGCGTATACTCTATTACTTGATTGATGATTTGAGGTACGTGTGTGAATTTTTGTCCGGAAATACGACATTCGGTGAGTGCTAATTAAATGAAGCATTTTCTAGGAAGTTGCAAAACGGTATCCAGTTTGAAGACTTATTGATTATTTTAAGATTCTGTAGGTATCTGAGTTTCAAACAAGATACAGGATCAGCGCAGGGAATTGGAAGGATAATAGAATAATGATCGCTGTCAAGAGTGTCATCACTAATTAGCCATTCACTAAGAGCTTCACTAAGGAAGAAGTAAGGGAGACGAAGGTTAGATCCGGATAAGTGGGATGTTAGAATGGTTGGTTTTGTTTATGTACGTTAGGGAGCTATCATTAAGTAAAAGTAGATCATTATTTGTGAAAGTGGAGAGTAAGCTCTCGCCTATTTTGTCGGTAGAGAAGCTTCTCCACGCGACATTGTAGCAGTTTAAGTCACCGCTAACGAAAACCAAGTTGAAACTGATGAGGGAATCAATTATTTTTTGCCAGTGAGCAACAGGAAGAAGGTCATCTAGTGAACGGTAAACAGATATAATGGTTAAACTTGAATTTTTTAGTTTAACGGTGACCGTAAAAGATTCTAGAGATTCCGTATATTCAAAACTGTATTTTCTATGTTGAAAAGAATATCTTTTTTCATCCCAATATTGACGCTACTACTGTTGCCTGACTACGTTTTAACTTTATTTCATATTTCTCTTTAGCCTTGGTTTCATGAAGAATAATTACGTCGTAATCCTCAGCAATGCCTTGGAGGATTGGTTGTTGGAAAAAGGAATTTCAACAGTTCCATTGAAGGGTTCGAAGGGAGTTATTGTTGATTGTGTGCCCCATCTTGGGTCTCATTAATAACTTTATTGAGAAGAGATTCTGAAACTTAGTAGAACTGATCAAGTCAGATTGAGTTGAGAAAGAAAAAATGACTTTGGTAGTCAACTCTAGTAAGAGAGCAAACGCAGTTGAAATATTAAGTAATTATCATCAGAATTTACTTCGGGCATAGTTGCATTCAGGCATTATCAACTTCAGAGTTTATGATAAGAGGGCTCAGGTTTAAAAAGGGAACCGATATAGGAAGTGGAAAATGATTTGAGTGTAGCCTTTCCTGCACGTTACGCTTAATAATGTGAGAAAGTTGAAGAGCCATCTGAGGGGAACTTGAAGATGACCTAGATGGATGGATACTATTGGTTACGTAGATTTGAGCAGTGGAGCAGGCAAGTTTGTCACGAAGGTGTTGGTTTTTCTTTTTTTTTGCTTAAACAGAAAATGAAATTTTCTTTAAGATAGTTGGATTTTTAATTTTAAAAATAAAAAATTTAGACTATATTATATGCAATTATATTAGCACTGAAATTTTATTGAAGAAATGTGATGAAATTCAAAAGATAATGATAATCGAAAAAGAGAATATTAATATCAATATCAATGACATTGCTATATACACCAGTTTGTATAAATATGTATGATGAACAATATATTTCTGCAGTACCTAATATGTTATATTACTAGACTACATGTACGATGCATCAAGATTTATATTTATATATTTAGAAAATAAAATTTTCTTACATATTGTATTTATTGTACCAGCATTTTTTATAATAAAAATTAAGATGTAAGTCATCTTGTTAAACAATATACATTATTCTCACATCCTACTATATTAGAGCAAATTAATTAATTCATATTTAGAAATTATTTTTTAGAAAAATCGAACTAATATGTGCATAAAATTTCTAGAAAATTCGTATGTTTAATTTTCAATGAAGTTGCGACATTTTAAAGTTATTCAGTTTTTATTTTATGCAACAATAGTTTTGAAAAACTGGAGATTATTATTATTATAAGTATCATCAGTCATTTTTGAGTTTTTAATTTTTTTATTATATGACTATTATTATAGTTATTGTCTTTAGTATTGATTACTTTTACTCATTTTTAATAATCCTTGTCTATTGAAAAATACAGCATAAAGGCAATTACATCGACATTAAATGTTCTGTTAATAACCATTTGGTTTGATTTGATATTTGATTCATTTCTTTGATCATTGTTCTTGCTTACCATAGTTTTATTTTAGTTAAAGCTTAATCAGTGGATGCAATACGTAAAGAAAACCACTTTAAACATTTGGTTAAAAATAAATAAATTTGTTAACCTTATCAGAAACTTTATTGTATAACTTGAAGAGGTTAACAATTTTGTTAACAAAAATTCAAAAGTTGTTTTCTGTCCATAATGCCCCCATTAACCGAACACAGCCTCAACTAAGAATAATTGATTGATAATATAAACCTACAATCTATGTAGATGGTTATCGCTAGTCTAATTCTTTTTATTTCACTTTTACAATTAATGTGTCATGAAACAAATTTTGAAGACATGCATATCAAGTATTTTCTTCTCACAAGACAAGATTTGGCTGATAGTGATAATAACTACATTGAATTTCAATTGTTCATAAATCTTCAAATATTTATTATATGCATTCAAGGCTTCTTAATTAGTAATTTCGTTTAGCTTATTCAATAATATATAACAGACTTTTTTTACTGCTAACTTAAACAAATGGAATTACATGTAACGAGAATAAATAAAATCTCAAAGCTGAATTTTACAAAATTGTACTTAATATAATTTTATATGTAAGGATGTTAGTCTACAATTTTGTCAATATGTTTGAGATAAAAATTAAGTAACATTAGTTGTAGTCTATTTATGAGAAATATTTGGAAAATTTAAAACATAAATTCAACCTACACTCAATTTTAATTAACATAACAAAATAATTAATATCTTATCTCCAACGTGATTACATTATATGTCAATGATTTAAATATTCTCTGATAATTATAAACATTTTATTAATACTTGACAAAATCTAGACGTAACAATCTATGTTTAGTTAGATATTTCAATGTAACTTAAAAAATTTGAACATATATTTAAAAAAAATTAAAGTTAAAATATAATAACTTGAAAGGTAATTTTAAAAATTACTGTATGAAACTAAACTTTTTCACTTTTGAGGAATAAAAATTACTGAACTATAGCCATTAATTTATTTATCGAAGGTTTCTTGTCTAAGTTTTCTACGATGTTCAGTGAGGTATTTTTGAGCAATATCATTCTTCTTATCAATTGGGAGATATTGCATAGCATTGATCAAATTCAAAAAATTTTCTAAAAAATCATCAGTTATTACAGCAGATTTTATACTTTCATCTACAATTATCTTGCTTAAGTCGTCATACTCATCTTCTGAATCTGACAAACGTTCATTACACAGCAAATACTCATCTTCTCTGGTTGGTAATTCAGCCGAAGATGTATCATTTTGCTGTGACGTTTCAATTTTCTTTTGATTTTTCACATTCTTTTTTACCTGGGAAAAATTCAAATTATTAGAGTTATTGATAAAATATAATTCATTCTTTATTTACATTTAGATTTCAAGTTACTTCTAAATAAAATTACATTAATGTTAGGATTAGGATAAATGCATTAATGAGTTGGAGTTTGTGAGAAATTAAACAAAAATATGATTATTTGATGAACTTTATATAAGACTTAAATATTTGCAAACAATTGCTTTAAATGGTGCTCAAAATTCAAATTAATCAAGTTAAAAAATCTAAATTACATGTGATGACATTAAAAAAAAATGAAAATTTTCAGATTTACTTGATGAAACCTATTTAAAAAGCTATGCAATATGGTAATGTAAACAAACGAAAACTGAAATGTTCAAAATTACCTTAGATGACTTAACGTCATCATTGACCTGCTGAATCTTGCTTTTTTTACGATAGAGAAGATAAGCTCTACGACAGCGAGGACAGGTGCTGACTTGAACACCAATGCGTCCGCAATTTTGGCAATGGTCGTCGAGAGTGGGTTTCGGACAATTTGCCTGCTGATGGGTATACTGCCAACAATTAAAGCATACTCCAAAGGGCACATCAATCTTACGATCAAATGGCACAGGATCAATGTCCTTGAAAATACGACCTTTTGCTTGGCCTGTATAACGCCACGGGTAAGCCGCGGGATTTCGTGGCTTCGCTTCAGGTGATGGTTTTTTAACTTCAAGCTCAAGAGGAGCAGCTTTGATAAGTGCTTTTCTTGGCTGATGTTCCAAATTGTGCATGTACTAAAACCATTTTTCCATTTTAGAGATAAAATTTTGATAATTCTACTTTTACATGCATAAAGTCACATGCACAAAGCATTTGATATAAGGAATCAGAGAAAGTGTGCATACGTTACCTGTTTTATATGACTTCCATACCGTAGTTTTGCTCGTGGTTTCTTTCCCATATTATCGCCGATGCTTGTTAAAAACTTATTGACGAACAAAATAAAAAAATCAAAAGATCAATTGTTTCGATGAAAGAAAAATGCAAGTCGATTGTGAACTTTGTTATTCTCGATCAGCTGATTGAATAGGTGTGATGGTGTGTACTTAATCTAATTAGAACGACCGAGACATGAAAATAATGTATTTTCCGAATAAATTACACAGAATTAGTTTCAATGTAAATTATACTACCTAAAAACAATTATTACAGAATTTGTACCCCTCGGAAAAGTGGAATGAAAGCACAAAAATGTTTAAATTAAAAAACAAACAAGATATTCTTTCCACTGAATTTGTACCTTGTCTTTTTTTAATGTTTAATTTCGTTGGCTCTGGTCCTGACGTCGACCGGTCGACTTGAATGGAATAGATATGAGTGAGCTATGCGCCATATCTGCACGGCCATCAACTGACTTGCGCTTGCGCATTGAACCACTGGATTGGCGGCCTAATTGAGTTGTACACAGTAGGAAATAGAAGTTCGAAAGAGATGAAGTTACTAAAAGTGAAACAAGACAGTAAGAATAGCATAGAATTGAAAAGATGAACTTAATTTTTAGAGGGGTCGTAGAATAATCAGAGGTATCATAGAAATAGCTTTAAGTTTTTGAGAAATATTTACGTAGGAGATTAATAATAAGAAGTTGAGGATTTGCAAAAAAATGTGCACTCAATGTCGAACCGTTCACAAAATAAAAAAATATAGTATAGGTCTTGTACATTCAAACTGCATGTATACATAAAAATAAGTCGACTAATTTTTTCTTGTACATATTAAAGGCTAAATTAAAACAATTACTTCTCATTCGAGTAATAGATACTATTTGTGTTCTGCATAGATTTGTTGAAAAGCCAATGATTTGATGTTTTGTTGAAGTTATTTCGAAAGAACACCTTCCTGAAAATAAGTTGGTAAGTTTTTCCGTAAGTACTTCCGGAAGAACCTATCGATAATAATTTAAAAACAAAATTTTCTTTTATATTAATTTGACAATCTAAGCTTGCATTAAGGTACAGACCATTATTTTGTTAAATTTAAAGATGTTATAATTGCTGTAACTTCATCATAATTACGAATGTGTTCGAGTCGAAAGTTTTTAATCCAATTTTATGTTATAAAGTTGCGGTGTTAATTTTGACACACCCTTTTTCGAAAACAAGCCATTAATAGTAGCCAGGAATCAAACCTATCGTGAGAGTCCTGCAGTATGCCCACTGAGCCACAGTGGCTCACGACAATCACAATATTTTTCAAGAGATAAATAGATATAACTTTATTTAATAAAAGACTTACAACAAATTAATGCAAATAATTTAAGTTGTATCTTCCGTTGACTCATGAATACTAATCGAACTTGCATTAATGGTTGACCTCCTATTTTGAAAAACACCCGTAGGCCCTTACGTAAGTTCTTATACTAGCCCTTATGCAAGTTCGTACGGAATAACTTACCAATTAATTTTCAGGAGAATTAACAATATAGAAGATAGATAATTTTTTATGACCTAGTTCTTACGTATGTTAATTCTTTCGTAATTTTTCCCAAAAAATTTATCCTCTCTTTTTCATGGCGATATATCTTTGTCGGTGTCGGCATTATAATAAATATATGTAGTTATACAAGTCCTTGCTACACAGTTCATTGGTGTATTGACGAAAATCAACATATGATATAGGAAAAATGATGTCGATTGGTCTGATCCAATCGCTTTCTTGGTCAGATCATCTGCCTCCTCGTTGTCTAGGATATCTTAATGACTTAACATCCTGGCAAAAATGATCTCTTTATCGATTGTTTTGAAGTAATTCTAAAAGCCTAAGATTAATCCTAAATAAAGCAACATTAAGGTAGTCGATCATAAGGCATCCTGAGAGATAGATAAAAGTGAACTGAGTCAGTAAAAAAGAGGAGATCAGGAAAGTTGTGCAAAAATAGTGGAGAGTTGTTTTTCAAACTATTAGCTAATTGACAGACGTAAGAAATTGAAGGGTGGCTTGAAATTCATAAAGAGCGTGTAATATATTATTATAGAAAAGTTTGATCAGTCTGAAAGTCTAAGCTGTAATAGAATGAATTCGAGACTCAGCATAAACGATTCTATTTGGGGTAGAGTTTCCGATACCTAATTAAATTAAACTAACTTACTAATAAATTAATAAAATTTAAAGGTAAACTAAAAAGTGCCATGTAGTATTAATCTTTTTAAAAAATTGAGTTCAACTGCTAAAAATATAGCATATAGCTGGCCATAATCATTAACAGCTGAGATATTTGCGTTATAAATAATGAATAGCGATCTAGGATGACACCAGGTAGTATATACGAAGCGATCTAACGATGTTAATGCCGACTGAATTTTTTCTCAATTAAATGATTTAATTGAGCGGATCATGATAAATTTTTGTCCAGCATTAGTAAAAATTGATATTCGAAACGAGTTAACATATATTGATATATCTGAGAAGTCGGAGATCTTTTGTTAATTATTAGAGTGGATAACAATTTGGTTTTTTCACAAGATAGTGATAGACCAAATTTCCTCAAGAAGATGTTGCGACTCTTGATAAATTACGTTCTAAAGTTTGAAGAACAAGTTTTATGTTTGAAGAAGTTGCAATAAGAGACTGATGTCGTCAGCAAACTGCAAACAATTACAACCTATAAGAATGAATATAAGATTGACAGACGCTGATGCTATGTAAAGTCGGACTATAAAAACACAGTCTTGCGGTACGTCTTATCTCGCTATACAAAAGGACCAACTATTTTGCCGTTGATTTTGAAATACGTAAGTCTTTTCGATGTAATATTGTAGTACAACTATTGCATATATTTACTGAAAGATATAGATTTCTTAGTAGATAAGTCAATGTCGTCGAAAGCACTTTTTACGTCCAGATACGCTATAGCTATGCACAAGCCTTAAGCAAAGTCTGTATAAAATTTTTGAAGTAAGGATTGACAAGTTATCTGCGCAGGATCTGGTTTTACGAAAGTCAATTGCGATAACGGAAGTTTAACGTCATTACGTTCGACCATCTTCTCGAAGAGTTTCAAAGTTGCTGAATCAAGCTAAGTCGCAATATTTTCAATAAAAATCAAGTGATAGACGAGCATTATTCGTTTGAGTAAAATATACCGTCATTATACTATAGTCTGAACATCATTTTATCAAAGGAACAGGAAAAAGTCCAATAGATGCTTTGTATATATTTATACGACTATATAAAAAAGTGTTCATATGCGCTGAGATTCAAGTAAAGTCTGTGTAGTTTATTTCAAATACTTTGCATCTACTTACTACATTATTTAACGAATTAATTTTTAGTTTCTATTTTTTTTTTGCTTTAATAAATTATAACATATTTTGCATACGTTTAAATTCGAAATGAACCTTAAGTGGGGTCGACTACCATAGTGCCATAATTCACACATGTGCTTTCTCAAGTTCACATGTTACAGTAAGACTTAATTACTGGAAAACAAACTGAAATTTAACGAGCAAATAATTAGCTAAATTTAGGTAGTACGATTGTATAACATATTAAGTCACGTTTTTCTCCAAGGAACTAGTCATAAAAAGTTTATTTGATCTTTTTAAATATAATACACAGATAATCAATAAAAATCCAATCTTATCTTCAATTTTCCAACTGTGACTTAATCGCAAATAATGCCAGGCAAGAAATCCTACAATATACAAAATTTAAATAATAATCATTAATCTTTTGCATAAACATGCATTTTACTGTTGTAACAATGAAAATTCGTGTATGAATACTTACAGTGCATGGAGTTTGAAAAAGAGATCTCAAGTCATCACAGAATTTAGTTATTGTTTTATGACATACTTCCCTCACTACTTCTACAAAAGCATCGCAAACGGCATTCTTGTTAACGTCAGATGTTACTTTTCCAAATTGATTAATCACTTTTTGTACGGAATTTTCACAAGATTTATTGACCGCTTGTTTTATCTGTGGGCCAAATTAATCATGAGAACATACATCAAACATTTATAAGAATATTAAAAATGTACCTTTTTCTCTACAGCATCGCGACTTGGGCAGATTTTCTTTATTATTGGCTTAAAAGAAGTAAGTCATTATTTTCAAGTAGAAATAGAGTCTTCAAGCAAAAACTGCAATTTTCTAAATACCTGGCATCCATAGGAAGTTCCTATAGCTAATCTACAAATTTCTCGAAAACTCTCGGAGCATGCCGAAGTAGTCGCGTCCACGATGAAGCTTGATACGCCGTTGCAAATTTTGGGAGCTTGCTGAACCGTGCCAACAACTCTTTTACAGAACGGGTGAACTCCTTTAGGGATCTAAAAATATATAACGATTTCGTAGTAAACGCACAGATGGTATTTTAGAATTATAATTATACTCACGTTCAATAGTCGAGGCCTCCGTCTGTGCACCTTAATCTGAAATTGAAAACAATCATTAAATGCAAAAATGCTTTTACAATAACCTACAAAGCCTGATGTGTTTTATACCCAATGGTAAAACAAATTCTCTAAAGCGTTCGCCATAAGTACGTCCGTAAAAGGGCTTTTTATATACCAATTAGTGATGTATATGACCAATAAGATATGACATCATATTGTTGGTTGCGTGGACGTAATTTCGAGAAGCCCTCGTCACGATTTGGCATTCGTCGATAAATAATTAACGCGCAGTCGCAAACATCGCGTTGGTCCTTTTTGTCCTATATGGAGCAGCGCACAAGTAAGCCCACAAGCCTTCACGATTATCGTTGAATGTCGTATAGATACATCTTTAATTAAGCTCAATAAGAACCTGTCGAGCCACGTAATTCATATAGGTACGGAGGAAGGCGAACGGATGTGCTTCGGCTTATAGACGTGTAAGCCAAGTTGCTCTATACAGATTAGCCATGCGTGTTTGCGCGTTCGTTTACGGTGACGTTATAACGGCCGCTACGTCAATCACTGTCTAATCGGATTATCGACTTGCATTTTATTGTCAAATTTATCGCGAAGTCATCTGATGCTTTTGTATTTATTGAATTTTCATCAAAATTGAATGTGAAATCATCATTAGTGTCCTCGTTTGATGTCGCCATTATTGAAATACCAGTGCAAATGTGAACGAGTCATCGTAGTTTTCTTCAAATAATTTTTTAGACGTACCCGAACGTAAGTTGACGAATAAATATAGTCGAGATTATTATACTTACACAACAATTAGCGGAAATGTGGTTCTCTGAGAGCTTAATTATTATAATTATTATAATTAATTATTATAATTATTATAATTAAGTATTATAATTAATTATTATAATTATTATAATTAATTATTATAATTAATTATTATAATTATTATATTTAATTATTATAATTAATTATTATAATTAATTATTATAATTATTATATTTAATTATTATAATTATTATAGAGAGAGAAAGAGAGAGAAAGAGAGAGAAATTATCCTGTAATTACGTTTGTTGTATCCATGTCTATTGAACTTAGCAAGGATTATTATTTTTACGTTAACAACACAGTTTTATTTTTGGCGGCAATTGTTTTCATGCGAAACGAACCTATTGTGTAAACACACAGTAACAAACCGGCATATATTTCACTTACTTTTATATTTGACGATATTTTGTTACTTCACATTGTGAAATTGACAGGCCATAATTAAAGATTATTGACTATCAGATACCTTATTTGAATATTTAATTTTTTTATACCAAATCTTTGTATAAGATTGAGAAAAGAGAGCTTGAAAAATGTTTGAAAACTATCAAAAAGTATTTGTAAAAAATTACTTTTGGTTATACCACGCTGAACCGAATATATTTACGCTGACTTCCTGATTGAAGTTTAGCAAATGCATTTTTACAAGATAATCAAATCTTATTTCTGTACATATTATCGGAAATGAGAAAAATAAGATACACTTACTTCTACTGAAGAATCATCCGTTCCATTCTTTACGTTATTACTAGAATCAGCATTTTCCAAATCATTTTGAGTGGCGGTCGTCAAGGTTATCCATAAGATAATAGCTAAAAGACTTAGAACGTTGCGAGCTATCATATTTGCTATTACACAGGATATTACAGTTATTTAATGCGCTGATATTGAATTTATATTCTGTTTTATATACATGTGAGCTGCGTTCGACTTTCAAGGGTTATTTGGACAGATGGTTCATTATTTGATTTTGATGTCAGTATTCGTCACATATAAATATTCATGACAAAAAAATTAATCCAACTACTATTTAAAAAAATATTCACCGAGGTATTGAATTTCATGTAACCATGAAATTAATTGATTGGAATAGCTATTTCAATGAATTTCACGGTCACGCGATAAGAGTGGATTAAAAGGAAAAGTACGTAGAATCTCGGTTATTAGAGAAAAAAGTGGGAAATATAAGATTTATCGATTCTACTCTGTACTGTCTACAGTTTTCTAACCCGAATACAAATATTTTATTCGACTCTTCGATAAAATCGTAATATACTCTTTTTATATTATTGAGAATTTTGGCTTGATCTAATTTGCAAACGGTCTTTCGAACCGCTGTGATGTTATTATTAATTTGATCGTGAATAAAGAAAAGCGGATTTGTCTGAAAATATGGGCAAAAATATTCTAGTAGTAATAGACCTTCTGAGTATTATAATTTACATTTATTAGACAATGAATTATGTTTTAAATTAATTTAACCAAGTTTATTTAGACGGCATCATTACGTTAGTCATTGACAGTTACGTGAGCGCGTAAAGTATTTGATTAGTTATATTCCGCAGTGAGGAAAAATCAAAATTGATTAAGTATTCCGTATAAAAAGTATAAGGGAAAATAATATACTAAAGAATCTAAAAGAATAGAATCACCGTAGTTCGTTCATATTAATATTTTTTTAGAAAAAAAATTGTAATTGTTCACGTTAATTAAATCAATTTTATTTACAAACTATTATTACGCTAATGTCATTGGTAATTCCGCATATAATAAATTTCTATCGGGAAATTCCTAATTGGAAAAAATCCTCACTCATATCTATAAGTCGATCAGCGGCGAGCTCCTCCAAGACGAGGTAATATAGACCAAAAAATCCCAAAATCACAATCCACCTAGCCGTTGCTAGGCGGCGCCACTTGTGTTGTGTTTAAAATAATTGACCAACTTTATTGTGTGGCACAATTTGCCTGCTTTTTCTTCCATGTTGTGCACATTGCGCACAGCAGAGAGTTAATTTGTTTACGTAAATAGCATTATCAAAGCAGATGGGACTGCGCGTGGGTATCCATTCAAATGCATGAAACTTGTCTGCAAGTTGTATCTGGAATTCACTTTTTCAAATATTTCGCTTACCGTCAAATCAAAAAAAAAAAAAAATAATATTCCATTTCGTTCCTCAAAGTCAATTCAATAATGTCGTTGACGAATAGATCTGACGATTCGAAGTCTGAGCAGAATTGCGACGAGAGCTCGCCCACTTTTGTAAATACAGCTGCAACTCGCCCCTCCAGAAGTATCAAATATTGCCAAATGGAGCTTTAAACTTGTGCAAAATCATTCCTCATTCCTTGCGCCTCGAAGACATTATCCGCCGTTAATTACTGTACAAAAATTAATACATCCTAAGCTTTCTGGTATCTCGCTAATTAAAAACTTGGTGCATCCCCTTCAGCAAATGCAGTCTCTCTACGGGGTTATATACCACGGCTAAATAAAGCTTACTCTCGCGCGCTTTGCGAGTGAAGTGTCGGTTAACATAAGAGTCGGAAAATAAAACTGAGGCGACGGAGAGAACTCCGACTTCCACGTGCGTAATTGAGACTAAGCTGATATACGCAAGGCAAAATGGGGCATGTTTCTTCCAAAATCAAGGGGATAAGACTGCGAAAAAGTGCGGACTAATTAGCATTTACAACTAGTATTTGCCACGTTATTTGAATTGTTATATATTGCCACTTGATTAGCAATCTAAACAGTTACTTGATAATGAAATATAAACACATCACATTGATTCATAGGTAAGTTGTATACAATTAGCCACTTCCATTTAATACCTACTAACAAAAAGTATAATGCTTATCAGATTTTTAATAATAAATATCTATTTTTTCCAAACAGTTAACGTTTGTCGATTGTAAGAATAGGAGCAAGTCGAGCGGATTTCACTGAAATGCACAGTAAAATGACTGTTAATCCTTGTCCAAGATATAATAATATTCCGAAGAATGAAAAATCGAAAGGCTATCCATAAAAATGCGGAGTGGGTTTATATAAATATACAAATCGGAGAATCGCGTTTATCGAGCACAGAGATAAACTCACGAGAAAGCGCTAGGAGCTTACAGCGGGACGACGCGAGCGCGAACGTGCAGCTGGGGCGCATCGCGTGCAGATCGGCCAACTCGTAAACGCGGAGCCGAGAATCGCGCCTATGATCGGCGAGCCAAGACCACGTGCCAAGACCAGAGAGCTCAGTCGCGGCGCAGTAACCAGAAGCCGCGCGCAGCTTCGATTTCGGTGCGGCGTCGGGAGCCTTGGCCGCATTTTCACGCGTCCATCGGTGAAGTTTAAATTAGATGCACGCGCGTTCGGACGGCAGTGTATCTCAAAATCTCGATTCCCGACGCTCGCGACGGAGTCAGAAGACCGTGGCTTCGTCGTCAAATACATCAATGGCATCAATTGCGGCACGCTGTGCGTCGGTTTCGTGGGTAATCTCACGTCCTGCTTGGTCATTTTGTGCAGCAAATCGATGCATACGCTCACCGAGTTCTACCTCCTCAGCTTGTCGATTTCGGATCTGCTGATTTTTACCACGGGCGTGCTGTACGATGTCTACTACTCAACTCACCATCGTGAGTACGTTACCGCAACTTTTTCACTCGCGTCAGCGAATTTCGTTATAAACATACTATAATTTTCTTTTTTCGATACTTTGGCGCGGATATCTTGACTTTCCGCACAATTGGTCAATAACGTGCGCTCAATGTATCGAGTTCTTATCCGTCATATCGAAAAATGCCGTAACCTTTATGCTTGGGAAAAGGGTTTCTCGATTCGCTTGTCAATCGAATCAAATTCAGCTGTCATCGTTCTCGTATTCGTCATTTCTTGGGCTCCATACTACGTTGAAGAAGTAATGTGGTATTACAAATACTTGAGCGGCAGAGGATCCGACGATACCATGTTTTACACAATGGTACTGAAGTTGTTGACTTATGCTTTATCCTCAGCTCTAAATCCCATTATTTACATCATGATGTCGAGAAAATTCCGGCAGGCATTCAAGGTACACTATGATTCCTTACAGAACGTATCGTTATAATTTTTCACACATACCGAAGCTCCGATTAACTGAATTCACAGGAACTTTTAACGAAGTGTCGGAAGGTATTGATCGACTGGACGTCTATTTGCAGAAAAAAGCGAGCCACCGCAGTACCTTTAGAAATTGCTTGATATGTTAATTCCGGTCTCTGATAAAATCCATATACTACTGGTACCAGTAGACTTAGTTAATAATTGGGCCTTGTGCGTATCGGGGACCTCGCAAGTATTTAGCCGATCGCATTAAATTTGATGGTATATAATGCTGAAGGAATCGTCCCCTTGTGACAACGAGGCGATTGCGAGGATTACGAAACTTGTTTAATTTCAAAAATTCCGGGCGATGGAATGATTAGGAGAAGGGGAAACCTTAAGAAATCCTAAGTGTAAATAATCTAATTGTTGGTTAATTATTAATTACTCCTTATTGCCAAATACCCAATAACCTCGTGGTCCAATAACCGAGTAATTTGACAAATTTGTAATGCGGTGCATTACAAGGCCTTTTCAGAGAGTGTTGCGCTATTTGCAACACCTCAGAAAAGGCCATCCCTGTCCCTTGCCGCCCCGTAGCCAGCTGAAAATACGTAATTAAAACGCGCCTAATGCGAAAATCATATTTTCCCTTACATGCCAACCACGACTAAGTAAACAAGGAAAACAGACGAGCTGTCGCGATCTGACGGATGAAAAAAAAAAAAAAAGAGAGCGCACGAGAGAGAGAGAACACATGCACACACTCCTGACCACGTGTTGCCGGCGGGCAAGAAAAACAAGAAAACTTGACTGAAAAGTGCAGCGGAGATGCACGTAACGACACGTACCGACCCGTTACACTCCCAGACACTGACACTGACACCCGGAGCACGCTGACATTCCTGGAGCGAACAGAAAATCGCCGATGAAGCGGCAGCCGGCAATCAGCTGAGTCAGGCTGCTGCGCACCATCGACGACACCCTGAACGCCACACACACACTTGATATGAACTACTGCCGACACTCACACACAACACTCTGAAACCGCACACGACTGAAAAACGGAGCGCTCCAGGAGGCGCTACGATTACCGGCACCGAGACACGAGGTGCACGCGTTAAAGAGTAGGCGGCCAGTTTAGAGCGCTAAGCTAGATAGAACGGCAGCGCGGTAGACTAAGCGGGAGTGCGAGCGAGATAGACTAATTAAGGGGAAGAGAGAGCGAGATAGATAGATTACTAAAGGCGCGCCTATAGTTGACTCAAAATTACGATATTTATTTGTACGCGTATGCGAATTAATTGTAAATAAATGTAAGGCGATTTAAAACTTGTTTTAAATTTAGAACTGACTTAAATTAAATGCATTAATTATAATTGAACCGTATCGTACGGATTAAATAATGTATGTAATTTCGCACGCTCTTATATATACTTGAAAGCGATAAGCCGCGCATTTATTGAAATTAATAGCTAGCCGATGAAATTTGAAACTCTGACGAAATTTGTTGATGACGTCACGACCAATAGGCAAATCATTAGGATATTTGATTTCCGTCCTCATCAAAATTCCGACAAGAGTAGGGATGAATCTCTCTCTTAGATTAAATGCTGACCGACCTAGTGGGGGGTGAGAGAGGGTAAAAATTGATGCGTAATAGATAAGACGAGGGGCGCTGTTACCTTCTTAATTTATATATTGACCAATAACGACACACTCGGAGGGCGCTACCGATATCCGAATTTACATATCGGCCAATAATAGTGTTTCTTCTCGGAAAGAGGAGAGAATGAGAGATCTTTGACCGCGGAGAACCGTTTCTCTTCCATTTTGCCACTGGATCTCGCCAAGGACAGTTCCGAGCGTAGATAGCAAATCGAGCATATTTCTTTGTGAAGGATTTATCGCCGCATTATTCCCAAGTAAGTAGTTGAAGTGTGACTGACCTTCGCGAATAGTTAGGGCACTAGGATACGAGTAGACCGTAATTCGCCGAGGCGTGTGGATCCGTCGCGGTCACGATTGCGAGTTCTGACCGAAGCGCGTTGACCTTCCGCCATTTCAGTGCGCGGTGTATGGCTTTACGAATAAATGAAGTTAACTTGATATTGCGTTCCGGTAATTTCACCTAAGTTCCAATATTTTCCTCTGCCAATTATTTTCAGCCGCGGACGGAATATTATAAGTGAAATTTGAATTAATTTTCTCTTTACGGTAACGAAACGTACGATTCGACGAAACACGACCTGAAACAAAGGAGTGAGAGCTAAGCGGCCGGATATCCTCTGTGGTTCTGCTGGAAGCAGGATATTGGATAAAGGATTGATTTGAACGAGAATGTCAGGACAAACATCGTCGGGGCTCTAAGTAAATTTTTCAAGTTTCGAACAGTTTTGGAATTTTGAAATTTCATCGCCCGCTCTGCGCAGTCGCACGGCGGGCAATTCTACCGACGAATTCGCCGTTGACTCGATTTTCCAACGATCACTGTAGGTAAGGGCAGTGATCTGACACCCTGCTACCAAAGTTAGGAAAATCACGTCCAACGAAAATTGGTGTTAGCGATTTTAGCTGGTGAGGCCTACGCCCCCCGAAATCCCCTTTCACAAATTTCACTTTTTTGCAGCATTCTAATGAATAGTAAAAGACACTCAGAGCATCCATCAACCACTCCAAACGTTTACTTGAATTAATTATAAAAGATATTTTTGAATTTACAAAACTGACTTCAGGGAAGGACGTTAGGGAGTCGGTGGAATGGTACATTCCTCGTGATTATCTCTTCAGTAAATACTTATAAAATGATAAATTTACTATTTTCTATCCATAAATATTATTTTCAGATGAAATTCATTCCGTTAAATAGGTGATATATGCCGCAACTCTTATTCAATAATCACGAGCGTCGCGGTATTGGTGTTAAAGAAAATATCTGGCCAGCAAAGAGATTTATCAGCGAAAGTTGATTATCAAAAATAATGACCTTCTCTAAGCTTTGAAGAATGTTGTTATAAAATATGCTGATAACATTGAAAAATATTGCATAACAATATCAAGTCGGGTCGAGGAAGCATTCGATTATACTGTTAGTTCGAAGTTTTCAAGAAACATAAGAACCAAAGCGCAAGTGAGTCAGGTGATTTTAGAATAGCAGCGACTGTTCTGAAGAAAAACGAAGGTAGATGTCACATGCCATTGATCTTAAAAGTACTCGATTAAATATGAAAGTTACTTCATATCTAAAGAAAGACTGCGAATCTTTTGGTGCGATGCGTTCGAAGAGAGTATATAAGAATTATTTTATTTTTCATTATAATAAAATGATTTTATTAATGCATTACAAATGTTTATATTGTTAACATATTATTGAAATTCGATTGATTCATAACATTAATTAAGGAGAATGAAGTTAAAAAATATATTGTTGAGAACTCGAATCATAAAATTTTTCAAGAACCAAAACTACAGTAATAATGTTTTTCCGAATGAGCGATCTGATAAACCAGGAGACTAAAGTTTTCTTTTAATTGCTCGAGGCAGTTCGTCCAACCAAGGTCGACCAGCTGATGGCAGTATTGGACTAAGAGCTGTTAAGACGTCAATGAATTATTGTAATAAGAAAAACACTTGATTTATAATGCGGAACCGCATATATCATTTACTTACTAAATCGGAAGCCGCACGAAAAATCTGCGACACAGTTTCGCTTCCTTTTACCCTCCACTATTCAACAAATGTATCTTTTTAATGTTAGTAAGCGAAAAAAGTGAGATTGAAAATTATTGCAATGTCACGATGTATGAACTTATATCAGTAGATTGATTTTTTTTGCTATTCTTTACTTACCGGTAAACACTGCCGACGCAAGGATAAAGAAAAACACCACGTAAAGTATGAATTTCATATCGATACTAATTATCAACAAAAATTCTTTAATCTTATTTACACTCAAGAATTTATATTTCCGCGTACTACGTTTCACTGTAATAAATGATCATGCTTTTATACTGCCTGACTCCGCCTCTTTCGTACAATATGTTTTAAGTTCGCATACATACATTATCATACAAATGAAGAAACAAAAAAATATGTCTCCGCAACTATTTCATTTAAAATTCTTTATACTTGATATATGAGGTAGATTTTAATTTGACGTTCACGTACACATGCTGTAACAAGTTACCGTCCACTTGAACCAACAGTCATACACTACTATTAGATATATGTGTAATAATAAACTATGATGCCAATAAATTTACATCTGCCATATCTTGCTACGTTCTTTAATAACTTTTTCCCAAGATTTGTATAACAAGAAAACAGCAACACCAGCTGTATTGACTTTAAGTATAAATAACAGCTTGAAACATACATACTCGATAACCAAGAAGAGTTTGTAACAATAATACGCGATTACCAAGTTTTTATTGAAGCACTTTAATTAACTGGAGTAATAAGTTTTTGGACGCTTGCTAGTAAAAAGGGTGAATCGAAACAAAATAGACAATTGAACCATAATTCTTTAAACTACCAGTGGATTGTATTCAGACCGAAAGCTTTCTATCAGAATGATATTCAATGCAAAATTTTGGTTCAAGTTGCGTTCTTTTAGCTAATCCGCCTGTTGAATTTTTATTTCTTAAGTTGAAAGAAATCATGTTCATTCTGATGCAAACGATATTTGACTGCTTCGCCGACACCGGCAACGATGTGCGCTGCATTTTCGAATTTACTTTTAAATGAATTCTGACATTGAAGATATAGAGCATTAGCGCTCGTTGTGTTTATCTATTCAGTCACTGCGTTCATAGGTACAGCGGCTAATTAAGATTTACTCGCAAGTTCGTTTAATGATATATATTTAAATTCTTTCAAAGTGTTTAATCCCTTTCAAGAGCACGATTTTATTCGTAGTATTTTATAACGTATTATTATAATTACAATACATTCATTGATTTTTAGGTAAGAACAACCTGGATGAAGCTCAATCGGCCTTATATTGGTTGCGAGACTGGAGTACTTCCGACAACGTAGCATTAGAATTTTATGGATGGAAAAAAAACTTGCGCGAAATTATTACACCATGTCAGTTTCCCAAGCATAGTGTATTTCTTAGAAAATAAAATCAGTACTTATACGTGCAAATCATTTTACGACGAACTGTTACTGATCAGTTCGCTATTTACTTTACATTATTTCACAATCATCAATGTCTTACTACGCCTATTGATATTCATGCGGCGGCATAAATTTTCGATACAATGCACATTCTAGTTTGCATTTTCTCCATAAATCACAATGGTAAAATTAAATCGGCGTATATTTCACTTATTAGTGCTTTTTCAGCTTTAGTTAGCTCATCCACGTACTTTTGCTGTTGAAGGGGTGCATTAGAATATTTATTCTACATAAGGCATGTCAGTGAATAACATCAATAGCTCCGATGTTGTCTTAGACTTTAACGTCTGCTGATATTGACAACATTGTTTATACATTGAATCCTAAACTATTTTCAAACAAGTATCGAAATTCCAACATGGGAATTGGTTTGTTCATCTTTTCTATCACTGGTACAATTATGAATAAAATGTTTCTCCTTGATGCAAGCGTTGACGTTAGCTGGTATTTTCATGTTTTTTTTGTTTGCTGAAACTAAAAGGAAAACATTAGCAAAAAATACAAGCACGTTATGATTGGGAACGCAATGAGAAACTTGATGAAATGCTACAGAAGCGAGATACTTGAGAATGTTTTAGATGTATAAACACTTTACATTCTCAATGAACCTAATCACTTTTTCGAATAAGGATGAAGATTATTTTTTATGTTGCTTAGACACTATTCATAAACATCAAAGCATTAATGATCTAAATATAATTTTAATGCCTGCTGAATAAGTTGACTAGATTCCACTGATATCAGTTACTTTTTTATTCATCAATAAATTTTTATTACAAGTACAGTAAATCTAGAAGTGGATCGATGTAACTGACAAGCCATCAATTTTGCACATAATTATTGTATACATATATATACTGTTGTGCACAGTAAATAGGCGTAAACCGGTATAAATCAACTCTTACACTATGTTACTGTACACAATAGCTTATTGGGTTTACTACCACATTTGGGTTATTAGTTAATTTTTCTTTAAATATGTAGAGTCGAAATCACTCTTATTATGTGTATAATAATTATGTGCATAACCAACAGTTAGCCTACAAAGAATGTTGACTGGTGTATAGCAATTATAATTTTTTCCACTAACGTAAAATAGTCTTAGCAGGAGTTCTTAAAAATTTTCTATGAAAAATATAACACGTACGCGCACGCGCGCGCGCACATACACACACACACACACATACAAAATTTGTTTTCTATTTTTTATGATTTTATTATTTATTTTTGGTTGACTCAACATTAAAGACTAGAACATATGGATATTATATTTCATTTGTACGTATCCTACCATAGTTTGGTAATGATATCTATTATATTACTTCCTCAACTTGTTGCCTGTAAACTATAATATCTTATAGTCGCTTGCATCTGGCAGCTTTTAAACTTCTTCACTAGTTTCGCAAATTTTATCAAGTTTTTGTATTTATTTAAATTTTTAATAACGTTCCAGCGTTTTCTCTCTCAATTTTGCATCTAATGTAGTAAAAGATTAACGACTTTCTGTTAAAAACAATCGACACGATTGTATCTGCACTTCCACCAGTTGAAATAAACATCAGTGATGAATACAAGTTAGAGTTAAAGACACAAAATTGAAATTTTTCAATATTATTTCATATTTTTTAAAATCCGTTGACACATTATCACGGTTTTTATAGAGACGTCACTTAGACATTGGTTAAAATTAAATTTCTCAACATCAGAAACCTTACTACTGCCGAGATTTTTGATACTGGAACATGCATTGACATTTTTTTAAATGTAAGAAATTCCATATTTGCTGCTTTGTTTTCTAGACACCGCACTTTTGTCATTCAGAAAAGAACATAACATTTCTTAAATAATCATGAATTTTTCGTACTTCTAATCCTGTCTTCGTAAATCAATAATTTTTATTTTCATTACTGTGTATGGATAAATAATTGCTTTTAATAGTCCGAAAGACCTAATTCAGCCTTTCCTATCAATCGAAATATTTAGATGTATAATTTATTAACAGAGTAACAAAGTAAAATAAAAGAGCTGCCCAGATTTAGAACTAAAATACATTGTACAGAATAGATTTACTATCAAACGAAACTTCAAATGAGCTAGAACAAAGAACTTGGAACAGACCTACACTCATTAATTGTCAATAAGCATTGACTTATACTTTTAATTGACGATCTATTAAACGATGATTTGATCAATTGAGAGATTGATATAATTTAAGAATTTTTCGAAACGTAGTGTTATACTTAATAACTTTATTTCGCTTTACCAAACTGCTCCAAAAGTAATAAATTATTAGGCTCCAAAAGAACAAAAAGAGTGTTACTCAATATGCACCTCGGATCAATCATACTCAGCTAAGAGTTCTATCACATTATCAATAAATTAAATTTATACTTTCTTAGTATTATTGATGATATAAATGTAATTATTTTTTATTATTATTTCTTATAGAAAATTTCCTAATTTTCTACAGGGCAACGTACTTGTTATACTTAATATAATGTTAGATTATGACAAGCAAGTACCCTTAAACAAACATTTTCACAGAGAATAAAAACATATTAGTTAATGAATTAATTTCTAATATCATTATCTTACAAATGAAGTCAAAAAATTAATGGAGATTATTTTTTTCTTTACCTTATAAAGCAAGTGGTTTGAATTATATTAGATTTTTTAATTATCTGTTTCACTTATCAACCTCAACAGAAAATAAAATCTTTAATTAAGTTATGCAATGAATAAAGAAATAGCGTGAATAAAAGAAAGTTAATACATCATTTATTTATTCAATCTAAAATCTTATAAAAAAGAAAAAAGTAAAGTAATTAATAAATAAAAGTTTATCAACAATCTATAAAATAAATAAGTCTTATAAATATAATTTACATAAAAGCAAACAGTTACAAACAATAGCATCAAGTGAGTGAACAGCGCTAAATATTGTAGTTAACAAAGCTGTAATCAGTCTTGTGAAATTATAAGCAAATGCTCAATTATGCTTTTCTTGGTGTTAAATTTAATGTATTGTTCAAGCTCTTACTTAATTCTTTAGTCAATTTTTTTTCAATTTTTTGACTTACATGAGACGATAGACCATCCAGAGCTGATTTCAATAACACCCCACCTAAACCACTACTCAAATGATTACCATTATCCCCTTGTGAATTTTGAGCTTGAGGATACCCATAATAAGTACTTGAAGGTGGATAGTGAGGTTGTTGATGACGACCACCACCTCCAAGGACCCCACTTAGAGCTTCACCAAGAAGATTAGTTTGAGATTGCGGTTTGTAATTAGATTGTAATCCCCTTGCTGCTCCACCTACAAAATTTAATCATATTTTCTTATTTCTTTACTTTAGTATTATTTTTATAAACAATTTCTCAGTTAAAAAATGAGTTCATAGTAAAATTTTGAATAAATTCCAACCTTTTTAACATAATGTAAGTCTTATACATTAAGATAAATATACTTTAAAAAAATTAATTCAAATTTCAAATACATTATTCTCATTGTGATGTTCGTATCACTTATAAATAAAATAATTCGAACTCTCGTAATCTAGCTAATGAGTAAGAATTTGTTTCCAATGATTTTACTCTAATTGTCAAGAAAATAGATAAATGAATCAAATATAATAAATAAGTAAATCAAATATACATAAGTAATTGCAATATATCGAGGAAAGTCAGACAATGCCCTAGTTTCTTATGGTGCGAATTGTCCCATAAGCAGAGCTAAAGTCTTTCTTTGATAGGATATAATTCGGCCCAAATTTCTTATAGCGCGAGATGTTCTATAAGTCGAGCTCAAATTATAAGGAAAGGATAGTCTTGCTTAGTTAATCACAATGAGAGAAAGAACTTAGGTATTAATCCAAGTTTATTCAGACTCATGCGCTCACCTTGCAAGGCTAGAAGTGAATGCTAGCCTGTGCAAAGGTGGGCCTATTTATACATAGATTTTCCCGCTTATTTTTGCAGGAGAGATTTCATCGAAAATTCGAGAGACATTCGCGAATTTTGAGAAATGATTTTTCTTAATTTACAAGTAAATAACCATTATTATTAAGTTTTTAACACATGTAAACTTTACAGAATTAGTTATTTGTTGATTTTATACAATATGTAATTATCGCCAATAGTGTCGTCAAAAGTTATTAACTAATAAAGTTAATTAACGTGATATTACATTATTTACAATGGAAAATTATTAAAATTTCATATAACTTTATAGTTGATTAATTTTGGAAGTATTTTCCAAAATTAATTATTTAAATTAATTAATAATATTTGAATTATGACTAATTTTTCATATTTGTAACGGTTTTTTCTAA